AGATATTATTTACTTGTATTTGTAGCGTTTCGATGCGTAAATATCCAGAGCTTCCCGGGCAACGCACGGCATTAGTACCATATTTAGATTTACCATAATTTGCAATTCTGCTGCTCAGACAACTCTCAGATTGAGGGACAACTATCCATCGACCCAATTTGTTCTGCATGCCCACAGCGTCGTCGGTACTACATGTATTAATAGCAAGGCGGCGAAGCTTGCTGTATTGGGGGGAGTTGATCCGTTTAATATTACGGTGAAAATCGGTCTACGGGGCCACATATAAAAGTACTACCGTGGTCCAAATGGACACCAGACAAACGCTTTGAGCAAGTCACGTGGCCTCTCGGCGACCTATGGGGATAAAAATCAAGGAGACAATGAAGCGTTCACTCATCCAGACCGCGCACCGAATCCAGCGTGGATCTTGTCGGAATTTCGAGCGCTGCTGCTCAATGGGTACTTCAACCCGGGACTGATTCGTCTTCAAACATAAATTGCTTTAGTTTCAACCATATTTTTACGCTTTCCGCATATGCAACACCGACCAATCTCTCCTACCTAGAATTATTATTATTATTATTTGCATGAAGTGACTTCAACAATAGCGGACCGTTATTTACGCCACCACCGTCAACAAATTGCATCCTCCTTTCATACAAGAGGAAGCTATAAATAAAATAAAAACTATGATGGTTTCTTAGTTCCTAATAACAATACTCACGAGTATATTATCGAATAATAAAAAAAGATAATTTGAACAGAAACTTTGACCCAGTACTTTATACAACTTTGTGTTGTTTAGAGCGGCAAAACAATACACTTTGCTATCCCTTTTTAAAATTGACAAACCAAAAAGAAAGCGGCTCTATAAGTTATACATGTGCAGCGGGTGAATTATCGCTAGAGACGTGAGGGTTTTGCACCGAGTCTACATCCGTGGAGCGCTGACTGCCGCTGAAGTGTGGACGTTGCTCGAAGAGCACTTCAACAAGAAGACTCTCAAGAACCGGCTCCTCGTCACCAAGAAGCTACACAGTTTCTAATGGTTCCAATACAAACCAAGACGGCTAGTGGTTACACGAACGTGTGACGATCATCGATGATTACTCACGTCACGTCCCATTAAACTTCATGAACGCAAAAATCGCATGTGCTATCGAAGTTCAAGATGTAAAGGCAGCAATGGAGAATGCAACGGAGAAGAAGATCAAGCGACTGCGTTCAGATAACGGCGGCAAAGTACGCGGGTCGACAGTCCAAGGGCTACCTCAACCGCAGCGGCATCAAGCACGAGAAGGCGGTGCCGTATACCTCGGCGGAACGGCCTGGCTGAACAAATTTAACCGGAGCCTCGTGGAGATGGCTCGCAGTATGCTCTTCCGCGAGAGCATTCAAAAGAAAGGCAGACTGAAGCTGTTAACACAGCAGCGTGGATCATCAATCGGATCTCGAATTCGGGCACCGTCTAGACTCCGTACGAGATATTATACAGGACCAAGCCACAACTCAAGAACATGAAGATGTTTGGTGCACTCGGCTACGCGCACATCCTTAGCGAGAAGCGACGTACACGCGATGGGAAAGCATTCAAGTTTGGCTTCAAGGGAAACGAAGATGACGTCGAGGGATACCGCGTTCAGAGCGGTGAGACCTGCAGGGTACAAATAGTGCGCACCGTGTAGTTCGTCGAAAAGAATTGTAGGGTGCAAATAGTGCGCACCGTGTAGTTCGTCGAAACGACAAGTCCATGGAACTCATAAAGTGCTAATGCAGAACAAGCATTGGCAAATCAACGCAGATTATTCCTGTTGAATTTGAAGTTGATGAGGTGATGCCGCTCCAACGTGACGTGAGCGTAACTGTGGTGAAGCGCCAGTTGGCTTTCACGAATAAGAAAACTGATTGATGGGAAATGACCCGATCCAGCCCTGAGACTCATGGTCGACGACGGTGCG